AGATGTGTCACGAATTAAAGCATATTATAGGACCACCTGCCCTCTGCTTCCCCCGTGTCTTTTACTCCAATAGGGTTAAAAAAAAATCTTATTGTCTCTTTGCTAGTATCAAACCCAATCAATGCTTCTCTTGACACCACTGCCTTATCGTTGCTCGACACGGACATTACCCACCTCCAATAGTCCTCATATGCGCTTGATCGATTAAACGGGTCAACATGGGTTAACTCATAACTGCTTAGAACATTACACGTGTCGGATAGCCATACACTCTATTCAGACAAACAAGTGCACTAGTGAGTAGTGACCCCTCTAGGCAAATCTAGAGGTGCGTGTGCTTTAATTCAGGACACATATATAATGTGGTGCCATGTATGTAGTGGATTTCCAACACCTATATATGATCATACATCTTTAAGTCATTCGCTAGCATTAAAAGTGAGTGACAAAACACTTCATCAAATGAAAAGATAATTCACCCACAATAAATCATTAAATATAAATTCAATTCTATAAATTTATTATATGATATTTTACAAACATAATATATACAACATAAATTTAACTATCTCTTATCCTCTCTTAACAAAACGTTTATCTTGTTTAATTTTTGGTTTTGTTCATCTCAAACTAATTAGAGTTAGTACTATAATTTTTAATATTAATCTTTTGATATTTAATAATTATATTAAATTTTAATTAATCTAAAATTAAATCATGTCGTACTTCATTTTGAAAAAAAACTCTTTTAACATTTTTTTATTTATAAAATTAAAACTTAAAATTTTAATTAAAAAAAACAAATTATTTTCACTTAAAGCAATCGCGTGGTTAATAAGTTAGTACTATGGTTAGAAGTAACGAAGATGGTGTTAAATTTGGCGGCTACCGTTAGCGTGAAGAAGTGAAAGGGGGCAGAATCGTGATTGGCGGGCTGGTGAATTTACACGTGGATAGATAAAAGGCACGTGGTCCCAGTTGGTGAGTTAGGGGAAGTGACACGCGTACAAAGTGTTTGGTTGCATCCCATGTGCATTTGCTTCAAACATTAGCAGTCTTTGTCATTCTTTCTCGGGAAAATGGATTTCTGGTTTTTGGGACTCGGCTTCCCCGCTCCAGCTGTTGGCTCCGCGCTTACATGTGAAAAATTTCCTCGATAGATGTGCTGCTTGTAAATTGGTAGACTTCACCTTCTCCTAGTCAATTGTCTCCGTAAAATAATCTTTCACTTCACTGTAAATTTGGACTTCACTCTCATTGGATATATAGCTCCAAAATGTTAAACTACTACTCCATTACCTATTTTCAAAAAAAATAAAATAAAATGTTAACTACTACAAAACCAATAAGCTCATGACTAGACGTCAAAACGTTACGTCTATGTAAAATTTTAAATATTATATTGAGTTACAAAAAATTTAAAGTGTTTTTGTAATTAAAATTTTAAGATTTTTTAAATAAATTATTTAAATAAATTTATAAAAAATTAGTTATTTTAAATATTAAAATGTTTTAATCTTTACTCTTTTCATATTATATTTTAAAATATTTATTTTGTTTAATTTAGTTATTTAAAATAATTGATAATTGTAATTGTTAGTTAATAAATAATAAAATAATTATTTTTTATTTTTTAGTAATTTTATTTTGACCTTTTACCTTTTAAATATAAATTTTAAATAAAAATTTAACATATTATATAAATAATAATTAAAAATATTTTTAATCAAATAAAAATATAATTATTTATATACATTATTAACTTTTTATTTAAAATTTATATCTTCTAGAATTAAAAAAATTTAACTAAATATATAAAAATAAAACACATAAAATATCATATAATTAATTAAAATTAATTTAAATATTAATATATATTGTGCGTCATAACCATATTTCTTAAACACAACATAATTTGTTCTAAAAAGGTAAAAAGTCTAGAAAGATGGTTGGTAATGGTAAAATGAAATTTTCAGTGCTCAGAATGTACCGAGTACCATGTTCTGACCTCTTTTTATTTTTGTAATGAATTTGATCTAAATTTTTCATGGGTTGATCATGACTAATGAAAGAAAAGAGAGAGAGAGCAGGAAGACTAGGATAAAACCATACATTTCACGGTGTGAGTCAGTACATGAATCATCCCCTCCAACAGAAATCATTAAAAAATAGAACGTGAGTAGTGTCTTTTCCGTCTCAAGGATAAGGGGCACTTTAATGCCATTTCGTACCAAGTAGTCACAGATGTGTCTGTGGTTGAACCACAACAAACTCCTCAACTCCGACCCATTCGGTCCCTACTTCTGATCCTATAAGCTAACCCTGACCCTGTAAACTTGTGACATGAGACTTTTTATTGTAGATTTTTGGTACATTTCAATTCATCAAGGACACATTTAAGTCACATAGTGATCGTGCCTTTATTGTCTCCACTCGAATATTCCCGAAAAGTTGGGTCAAGGCCATGGTGCGTGTCGTATCCCCACGTTGCATTTATAAAGGTTACAGAAACTAAATGACTATATAAGAAAAACAAGGACTCTTATTTTCTCTCTCAAAAAAAAAAAAAAAAAGATTAAGAAAGCGACTTCTGCATTTATGTTTGTCTGAGTGACCAGAAAACAAGGAAAAAGTTTGCCATACTTTTCTTTTCATTTTCAATTAGGCCGAAAACAATGAAGATGATAGCCTTTGAAAGAGAGAGATAATGGAAAGCAAACAGATATTTCTCTGAGGAATGATTATGGTTGTCAATTTTTTTTACAAGTCACCAAAATCGATTATAAAAATATTTATTTTATTTTATTTTAATTATATTTAATTATTAGAAATAATAAAATAATTAATTTTTATTTTTTAATAAATTGAAATTAATTTAAAAATTAATATTTGTAGACATTATAATCATTCATTTAAAAAAATTACAAATATTAATCAAATTAAATATAATTTTGATAGCCTTAAAAAAATTAGTAACCATGACCACACCTTTTTTTTTTCTTCTGTCTTTAATTTCTTTTAAACTAATATAGTAAAGTGTGTCTTTAATTTCTTTTAAACTAATATAGTAAAGTAACAGCTAACGATATAAATAATTTAATAGTTATTTTTTTTTAAAAGTAAAAAATTTTGAATTTGAGTCGCATAATATACAAATAAGATAAAATAAGATATAGAATATGATTATCTCTCATTATGCAATCAAGATAATATATATATATATACACACTAGAGTAACAAAAATGTTTTGTGCAGTTTATACTTAACCACTAATGAGGAAGACTTAATGAGAATGGGATCATCCACCTAATTAATGATTAACTTTTTACAGTTTGCTGCACAAATCACTAACCATTGTTGAGGAGGAGTCTTAGAATATGGATTATCCTCCTAATTGATGATTAATTTTTGTAATTTAGACTATAAAAAATATTTTGACTCACTAATAACATACCTGGACAAAATGTTAAGAAAAAGAAATCTCATATTAGTGAATCTCTTTAATTATTTTATATATTATTAATTAATTTTAAATTAAATGCTTGTAAGTTCCATTGTTAGTCCATGATTCTAGTTCTGTTTTCTATCAAATCAGCGTGTGAGAACAAAAATAAAAAATTTAATTAGGCAGAAGGGTTAAATTGTTCAAGAAGATCTACTTCTAGGAATCAACAAGTCAAAAAGTTTGTGATAAAATATTTAGAAATTAATCACTTAAAAAGTGTTGCTACTTAACATACCGTGTACATTGATAAACCAAGACGTCAACAATGACGAAACCTCTACATGGCCCTGAGTCTCCTTGAAACAACCTTGCTTATCTCCCTCCTATAATTTATTCACAATGGTGAGGAGCGTGATTCATGTTCTTCTCCCAATTAGTTACATGTTTTTCAAGCAAGCAGCCATATATGCATTTTTATTTTTGAAAAAAGTTCAATCATTTTTACCCCATCTCGAGCCACGAATGAGCTATGGGTAAAATCAGGAAAAGCCAAGCAAGGCAGATGAGTCGAGCTGAGAAGAGTATGGCTTGGCTGGTGAGACAGAGAAAGAGGCAAATACCACCTAATTGGAGAACAGAATACAAAAGTGACTTACATATACAAACCCAGAGGCCAACCGTACCCCATTTTTTTATTATCCCCAAAGTGGTCAGGTTTGGGATCCCAACCCATCTAAATTTACTAGTGACCATTTCTTTTGTTTACACCCATAATGACCCTCTCTTATTTCCTTAATTCCCTCTTTTGGAAAGCCTAATCCCAACCTTATCCCCACTCTAGTGGATAAAATCATGGCTGAACTGGACTGATGCTGCTGCTCCGATTACAATTTCTAGTACAAATTAAATGGGTCTTAACTAAATTCATTCTTAAGTGGAGGGGTGTTGAAGAATTTTACCAACTAAAAGAATTCAGAGAAACTATATGGAGAGGAGCAATGTCACAAGTTACAACAAGACCTCAACAACAACAGACAGGATAAGATGCAATGATTTTTTTACTTTTTTGACACACATTATGCATTAAAAACATGGTTTTAATGGTATACATTAAGTTTATCATTTTTCGAGTAATGATTATTTTTTATCAACGAATATTATATACTCCTATCACTATTATTGATCAAACGGAAAAAATAATACCCGCACTTATTTTTCCAATATATATATACGATAAATAGTAGTATTTATTTGTACTTCTTAATTACTTATTTATTTATTTTTGCCTTGTGCTTCTATTGTTATGTGCTGTTGTCCACACAGAACATCATCACAAATGATGACAATATTTCAATCAAAACAATCTTAGATGTTGACAGCACTTTAATTTTCTCTTACATCATGAAGACAAAATATCAGTGGCAAAGCCGAAATTTCTGTAACAATGAGGTCCATTTTTCAATCCTTATCTTTTTGAAAGAGTCCTAACCCTGCAAGACAAACAGTTCCTTCAGTTCAACTAAGCCCTATAAATTAAGCTGGTATGCCCTTAAAGCATTCACAGTCTTACAGAGAGAGAAAGAAGAGAGACAGAGAGAGAAAGAGAAAGAGAGAAAGCAATAGCTCATCCAACAGGACAGCCACCATGACTCATGAGGTCCAGGATCCTATGGTACTTATCTCCCAAATGTACCCTGATGTATACACCCAAGTGGTACCACAACAAGGTTAGCAGCAAAACAGAAACTCATCAGGTTTTTACTTTCTATATGCTTGATTTGTTGTTGAAATTTTTAACGTTTAAAATTTGTTTTGGTCATGCAGTGGAATCCAAACCGCGGCGGAGGAGGAAGAAGAGCAAGGGAGGAGAAGCCTCTCTCATTTCAAAGAAGAGGAAGCTCAGCCAGGAACAAGTGCATCTTCTGGAACTGAATTTCGGGAACGAACATAAACTGGAGTCCGAGAGAAAGGACCGTCTTGCATCGGAGCTTGGACTCGATCCTCGCCAAGTTGCTGTTTGGTTCCAAAATCGGCGGGCAAGGTGGAAGAACAAGAAGCTGGAGGAGGAATACTCCAAGCTCAAGACAGCCCATGAAAACGTCGTCGTTGAAAAATGCCATCTTGAATCAGAGGTACACCTTCTCCCCCCTTTTTCTCGAAAGTTCTGTGTTTTCTTTTCCCTTAGTTTCCACTGGTTCTCCAGTAACCAAACAGAATCTGATCACAGCCACAGGAAGGGTTTTCCTTTTTTTCATTAAAAAAAAAAAAATCAGTTTTAAGAAGTGATTTAGGTAATCTTTTTTATTCCTAAATTTTTTATTTTAAGAAATAGGATAATGTGGCTTACGTCCGAAATTTGTGACTAGTTTTGCTGACTAATTTAGCAAATTAAGTAAAAAAAATACGGAAAATTCTTAATTAAACCAGAGTGCGGCTTTTTAATCCTTTGAGAAAGACAAGATGACCCACCACGCAAGAACGTGCATGGGCTCTGGGCTCGAAGAAACCCGTGCCATCTTGCCGGATCAGGTCTTGAAAATTTTTTAAAAAATAGGGTGAAAATTTTGACAAGGAACAGCAAACTGCCACCTCAATACACAACAAAAACCACTTTAATATCCAATCAACTGTGTTCCGTACGATGATGATGTCGTTTTAAGGTTGCCATGCTGGGCCTTATTATTTGCCAAGGCCCACTCTGGTTGGGGGGAAGGAACACTTCACACATGCTATTTTTTTTTTCTTTAATTTTAACATTCATGAAAAATATTTCTTGGTTAATTAAATGGTTTTAACTCTTTTTTTTTATCTCATTTTAGGTTTTAAAGCTCAAAGACCAACTTTGTGAGGCGAAAAAGGAGATTCAAAGACTTGCGGAGCGTGCTGATGGTGTCTCCAGTAACAGTACTCCAAGCTCTGAGCTCTCTATGGATTTTGTGGAACCTCCCTTTTTTGGAGAGTTTGGGATGGAAGGATACGGGGATGTTCTATACATGCCTGAAACTGGATATGCTAGTGGGCTTGATTGGATTAACCTGTATACTTAACTGTCTTGTCCCACTATTGACTAGTTGTAGATAGACCAATCTATTGTAAATCGTTTTTTTCTTAGTCCTATTTAATGTAGTTTTCTACTAGCCAGTATGTCAGCAAACTATGGAGAAATGTGCTTGAGTCACTTTGGTGCACCATTCCCCGACCCTATATGTTAGCTGGGTTTGATTGTCTCTCCTCCAAAGAGTGTACTCGCACGTTAGGATAAATGGGAGACCATAATTAATGTCAATAATTGACTCAAGTGTATAACTTGCCCTTTTTTATTTCTAAATGCCCTCTTGTAATTAGTAGTATAATTAAATCCTAATCAAATTCTATTAATTAAATTGTTGGACTTCATATACTTTAATGTCATGTTGCAAGTCTACAAATTTTTTAATATTTTAATACTAATATAAATGACACATTGTAAAACAACTTAAAGAACTTAATAATAATATAGTATGAGTTGTAACCATACATATGAAATATAGATAAAGAGGAAAAGATTGAGTATTATGGGATTGTGGACCATGTGGCCATAAAACAAGATAAGGTAATTCCATTTTTAACTCAAAACGAGTTGGTCGAGACTGATTTAATTTAGGAAACCATTAATGCATACCTTATCTGAATGCAAATTAATTGATTGGTCTCTATTATCAGAAGATAAAGAATTTATGCTTACTGGAATGAAACTTGCATTTTCTTCTATGATGACCCACACGAATCTTCGATATCAAGGCTATACTTCTTACTACTTCAATTTTGCAGAACTGCACCCACATGCGTTCTTGCTTATCAACATTTCATATTCCTCGACAAAGTCATGAAAAAATTCATAGTGCCATTAAACAATGAACATTTCATATCCCTCGACAAAGTCAAGAAAATTCATAGTGCCATCAAGCAATGAAATTTTCTTAGCAATAATAATAATAATAATAATAATAATAATAATAATAAACAAACAATTAAAGTTTCATGAATTTCTTTTTAAAAAATGTCCCTTTGAACAAAATTATGTCAAATAAAAGGACATGACAAAACTCCGTGAAGTTTGGAACAATGAAGACTGTGGGAAATTAATGATATAATTAATTTGCCCCTAAATTATTTTTATAGCTTTTAACCGAAGTTCTCTGTTCCAGATTTAAGCTCTTGTTCTACATGAGGGCGAAAAAGTTATTAAAAAATTAGTTTAGGGCCGAAGTATATCATTTTTGCAAGTTCATGTTGGTGACAAAGATTATGATAGTGATTGCTCACTGGAAAAGGGAAGGATAAAGATTGTTTAGTGAAGGAATCTTAGAAACCTACTTAGCCAAATGGAAGCACAAAAACAGAAAGAATGGATAAGGGTGATGATGTATTAAAACCACAACTCTTAGTGATGAAAGACAGGGGGTATGATTTCTTCCCATTAAGTGAACATGGGCACCAACGTAAGGTAATTTGGGTTGATGGCACGGCACGGCAGGACTTTGGGAACTTTTGGTTATTAGGTTAGGCAAGCTTGCTCTTGGACACATTGTAGGAGACCATTAATGCTAGATGTAGAACATCTCATTTTTATCTTAATTTCCCTTTTCTTGTTCAGATTTCACTATCACTTTCATGTTCTGCATTGCTTTAAATTTGTATGAATATCCATTTTGGTCCATGGCTAATGCCCCAGTTGGTCCTACACGCATGTGCCACCACACCTGATATTTAGAGAAGAGTTGTTTCATTATCCCTTTTCTAGCTCTATTTTGGATATCATGAGAATTTTGACCCGGATCTGGGGTCTCTTGTCATGTAAAAAGATTACTATCCTTGAAGAACTTTCTTTTTCATTTTTTTTTTTGGGTATATATGTCATTAAAGAACTTGTAAGATTTCTTAGATTTGGCCAAAAAAAAAAAGAGGGAGAAAAAGAGAGGGATGGAAGCAATGAGAGCTGGGCCTGACTTTTGAAGAAAGGAGTAGCACTGTAGCAGTGGGCTACGATGGGCTGGGCTTGAGAAACCTACAAAAATCGTCTGGCATGTGTAGTTATTCATGGGGTAAACATTGCATGGATGGAAAAAAACAGTAGTTCTGGATCGGATGCGTATTCATTGTGTAACATGTAGACTGTTATACCAGATATATTTTAACAAAATTTAAATCATCTTATCTCTGAGAGTTGATATACCTTTCTCGACTTTTTAACTAATATCGAATGTAGTATCTGTTCTTATCCGTTTAATTTTTTGAGAGTTGTTGACAAACAGAATCTTGTGAGAAATAATAGATTCTCTAACAAACATCCATGAGAGCTTATCCTCAACAAAGACTAATAATCCTTCAAAGTTGGTTGAAGACTTGAAGTTGAAGCTTGCATAATCAATCCCAAGGAAGATTCCGGTTGCACTGACCAACTTATGAACAAGTCCAGCAAGAAGCATATATAAGAGGCGTTAGGGTTGTTTTTCTACCTTCCTCCTCCCTTGCTATCATCACTACTTATCTGAATGATAATCTGGAAACTGGAATGATGGTTTATTTGATGAATCATTTGTTGGGTCTTGAAGCTGAGGGCTCACAGCTGAGGGCTCACAGCTCAGGCTTGGAACTAATGTAATTGATTGGGTCACAGCTCGTCCCTCCTTTTTATAATAGACACCAGGAAAGAAGGGTACAAAAGTTTATAGAAATTAAAGATGAAAAGGTCGAAGCATTTTTGTTAGACATGTTGCTGGTTTCTTGGTCTTTCGTTCAGTCCCTTTTCTCTTTTTATCAATCATTACATTAATCTACTGACCGAACTCATGCAATTTTTGCAAGTTCTTTTATTTTTTTCTTAGGATATTATGAGTATTCAATATTTTAATCTAATTAATTTCCTCTATACTTGTAAACTGTTCCATTGACAAATATCAAATAAAACTTCATCTTAAAGAATGGCTAACGTAACTTACTAAAATTATTGGGGTTATTTGCAGATTTTATTATTCTTTTTCTTTTTCTTTAAATAAGAAATTATTTTCTTGTTACCATCGGTCAACAAGATGGGCCGAGCTACAATCCCTTTTTTCTGGCTTTATTTTCAGCTTTTTTAGTGTTCATTAGTTGTTACTTGTCAGGCCTTGAACTAAGGCCTGATATGTACAAACCCAAGACTACTAGTCTTATGAGCTTTATAGCAGCCCAATCTTCGCCATTGGGCAATGAAGGGGAATGAGGTTAGTTTTTTTCTTTTCTTTTTTTTTTTTCACCA